AGAGTTCAAGGCTGGCCTCTCCATGCTGCTTCCAGACTGGTCTCCTTGGGGATGTTTGTAAGGGTAGTTATTTTAGAATTGCTACTCTGCTGTTCTGGCTTGTTTGGAACAATCCCCCCCGTAAGAAAACTAGCCTGGAATAAAAGGGATTTTGGCCTACAATGATGGCTCTAAGCAGAGCAATGTTTTGGGACAAAATCACAGTAATTTGGGTTTTCTATTGCCAGTTATTCTAGTATTTTCCCTGTAGAGACCAGGCTTTATGAGCCATAACCATCTGTGGTGCCGTGTTGTTTGCACCACGACTCTGCAGGACTGTGGGCTTCCTGAACTCGGAGGAGCACGTAATGCGGGGCAGGGTCCTGCCTGCTTGCCAGGGCGCTGGTCCGGTTCCCAGCGGCTGGGCGAAGGCAGCAGTCACCCGGAGAGGTCCCAGCTGATGGACTGGTCAGGTGGTTTGGGTTGAGTAGGCAGGGATGAGGTTTAGCTCTGAGCAGAGGCCAGACAGCAGTCTGGCGCAGCTGTGCAGGTACAAAAGGACTCTGTTTCCAGGGCTGTTACCTTGGCATCCATCGCTAGCACAGAATCATAGGTAAAGCTAATGCATGGGGAGAAAAAAAGAGGTTGGAGAATTGTCTTCTGAAGCAAATGCCAGCTTCTGTGTGGGTCCAGAAGCTGTTCTCTGCTGCTGCAGCACTGTGTGCTCTTGGCTGGCTGCTGGCTTCCTCGAGAGCAGAGCAACAGCCTTGTGTGAGAGAAAATCAAAGTTCTACCCTCTAAGCCATGTCCTGATCTGTTAAGAAAGCTTCAGTTTTCCTTTGGTGCGCTGGGTCAGAGGTTTCTGGTCTGTCTTCGGATTTATTAATTGGATTTACTCCTGATGTCTCTAGAATTGCAGATTATGAAGTCCTGCAGACTATAGCTGTCAGTGGTTTTCGTTTTAGAATTACAAAAGGATCTGCTGATTTTACTTCTCTTCTTCCCTCTTCTAATCATGCTCCAAAGTCTTTCAGTGTCCTGTGTCAGGAGGCCAGCTCGGTCCGGTTGATATTTAAGGAGAGGTTTTCAAGTGAATTAGCTGGGTAAGATGAGTTACAGTTGCTTCCCCTACATACAAACATGGTTGCCCTGGCTGGATGCCCAGACCACCACATACCTGGGCAGTATGCAAATCTGATTATGAATTTCCATTTTCCTGTGGTCTGAGTAAATAAAAAAGAGCCTGCTGTTGTGTTAGCTACTGTACCAGGCTGGGGAAGGTTCAGGTCCCAGGTTTCCAGCTCAGTGACTGATGTTAATTCCAAGTGAATGAGTGGAGCTGTGGAAGTGCTGTGCCGGCCCTTTTCCTTCGTGCACTCAGCTGAAGGACTCACTTGTGTGAGAGGGGCTGTCTGCTGGAGTCACTGCATCCATTGCCCGCTGCCGCTGCCAATGCAGGAATCCGCTGGTCTCGGTCTGTAAGCAAGTCTTGGCCACTACAGAGTACAGCAATTAGTCTCAAGCCTTGTGACATGCTCTGTTCCTCTTGCCCTCCATCTACATGCTGCAAACCTTTCAGTTACCAAGTGAGCCCAGGAAAATGAGGATTTGGTATAATCCTTCCTCCCGGAGCCTCAAATGCAACCTGATGCAGCTGTCCGTGTTCAGCAGCAGCACTGGTGCTGTTAAAAAGCTCCTGACATCAATAGAAGTGGCACTGATACAGCAGAAAGAGCAACGGAACGGGTGCAGAGGAAAGCTTCTGAGGAAGGACAAGGTGCTGGCCAGCCTGCCACTGGTAGGGTCCTGCACAAAAAGCGATACGGCTGGTGGTGAGAACGGGGAGGAAGCTGGTGAGGCGTGCAGCAAGGCAAGGAGCTTGGTGGCTGTGGCCTCGCAGCTCTGTGTGCCAGCCTGGGGTGGGCGTGCTGATAGCAGGGCCGTGCTGGGGAGGGTTTGCTCCTCTTCCCCAGAGTGCGAGCTGCAGCCAGGCAGGCCAAGGGTGACATGTCAACCAGAAGAAATGCCGAGCCAGGGAAAAGGTTGTTCTCTGTCTGCAGAGCGTGTCTGAGCCAGCGAAGAGCATCGCATCTGGGAGAGTTACAAGGCTCCTGTCACACAGCAGGTCAGCACTGCTCTGTGGTGAGGGTTTTCCCCACGGCAAGTGTTTTCCGACGTTCTGAACCCCCTTCCTGCAGGTGGCCGGTGTGTTTTGGCAGGGGTCTGCCTTGCCAGCTGGCCCTCCTCTCTCTCCTGTGCCTCTGCTTCCAGCAGCACAGCTGGGGGTCTTCCCCTGGGCAGCTGCAGAGCTGGTCCCAGACATCTCTAATGGGCCCATTATGCCAGATGTGTTCACTGCTTTTGGAAGAAAATAGAACTGATTAACACCTGAGCTGGTGCACAAGCTCCCAGACAGTGTTAAAGGAATATTAACGAGCGCTCGCTGATTTGGAGAGCAGCTTTCACCACGCTGTCAATTGCACGTGTTAGTTGAGTCGTTGGGAGGCTGGACGGCCTGGGGGCTGGCCGTGGTTATCAGACCTCCTAGTCAGGCTGCCACTTCGAATCTGGGCCAGGCGAAGTTAAAGAGAGACGTCCGCTTGGGTGCCTGTGAGAAATGAGCTGTTGGTATCAGTCACTGCCTGCAGTACCCACCTCCCAGGAAACGCTCGAGCTTGTTTCTTCAGCATGGATGTCTCCCGTCAGCCCCAACAGCTCCTGAGCATCTTGCAGTGCATTTGCTGGTTGTGGCTGCGGATCAGTGGTTGCTACTGAGGGAAAGGCCATGTTGTAGCAGCATTGTGGATAGATACTGGGTTGGCTAACACTCTGGAAATGGAGTTTTGCTAAAACTCTGAAGGATTCCCTTTGTTCTACACAGAATTTTCTGTGTCCCCTTCCGTGTCATAGATGATGTGGTAACAGGTTTGTCGTGCCTACGCTTTGGATTCAGACCTTTCTCCTAATGAGAGTACGAGAAGCAATATTACTGGGCTGTAAAATGGCTCCCTGCATTGTCCCCTTCGCCAGCTTGCCCAAGAGTGCTTACTGTGACATCTGTTTTGGAGCTGGAGTCTTGAATGTCCCTGGTGAAGCAAGCTAAGCTATCTCATATGTTCCCTGAGGATCTTTGCTGGTGGCATGTTTTAGGAATTCAGCTGAAAGAGACAACGCTCTGACGTGCTCCCTGCAGATGCCTGGAGAGCAGGTTTGGAGAGGCTGCTTGGGCTTGCTGAAGGAACAGAAATTGTTGGACCTGTCATCAGCATGCTGCTCAGCTGGGATCTTGCTAGCTACCTACGTGTGGTGGAGCTGGCCCTTCCCTGCTGCTGCTGGAGAGCAGCACCACTGACGCTGAGCCCTCGTAGATATCTTCACCCAGAGGCCCCACAGAGCTGTATGCGCACCATAGCCCAGATCACCCCCGGTTCACAAGGGCAGTGGAACAAGCAGCCAGTCTAGCCTAATTGTTGTCACCTTCCCTTTCCAGCCGGGCTGCGTCCCTCCCCAGCAAGGCTCGCTCTTCTGCCGCATCCGCGGAAGGGCTGGTACCCCCGCACCGCGCCCGCCTCAGCCATCCTTCCTCCCGAGCTCCCCGTTACCGTGCTCCCTCCCCTGCAGGAGGCACGGGCGCTTGGTTTGGCAGGGAGCAGTGCTGTGCTGCTGGAGCAGCTGTGTAGCTCTTCTCCCAGGCTGTTGCGCTGCTGCGCGTGAGCTTTAAAATTTCTGTCAGCTCCATACTGCTGATCCAGCTGTTTCTGGCAGGAGACAAGTGTGAAATGGCTAGCTGGCTTCTGAGTCCGGGGGAGGTAACTTCTTCAATATTCCCCCAGAAAAAAAGGAGAATTGGCCAGCTACTTCTTCTGAAGGAAAGAAGACCCTGTCTGTCCCAGTCTAGTATTTCTTTGCCTCTACCATCACTTCTGCTGCAGCCTTGAGTGGAAGCGATTGAGACTTGTTGCATTCAGACATGGTGTAGGGATGCTTTTGGGGTGGATGGCAGGTAACCCTTTCTGTTTTTCCCCCAGTGCTCACCCGGAGTCAGAGAGAGGCAAGAAGTAAAGCTGCCAGTGGTGGAAGCAGCCCGACATCCTTAGACATTGACAAGTAAGTAGGTATGCTTGCTTCTCCAAGATTGTTTCTGTGCTTCCGTTCTAGCTGGCTTGTGGATATCTTTATTCCTGTATTAAATGCTGGCTGTTGGCCTTAGAGTTTCACTAAAAAATTGCCTTCCCTCAGTGCCTCTTGTTGCAGTGCTGGCTATATTTAAACCAAAGCAGGAGGAATTTGCTGTTCTCAGATTGTTTATTTTTGCACTAATTTCCTTTCAGCCCGATCCATGGTGGGTCAGGGATGCATGGTCTCTGGCCGCTGTAGCTAAAATAGTGCTAACTCAGCCAGTTTCTGATGGGAGATTTGAGCTTGGTAACCCCAGGAAAAGAAGAGGCTAGGACGGGGAGGCTGTCAACATGGCACCTGTAGTGATATTCTTAATTAAATTAGACTTTCAGAATAGCAGTGGCTTTGTTTAATCTCTTCCCATGCAGCCCCTCCTCCTGCCACCCACACAAAGCATCGTAAGAGAGGATCTGACAGTAAAATCCCTGCTATGGAAGCAATTTTGCTGTTACAAACAGTGGATGGCAACATCACTAATGGAATTAGGCTAATTATAGAGAGGACAGCTTCTGTTTAGACACATTATCTGGGTAATCAGCACTGACTGGAAAGAAAATACGGGAAAAGTGCTGCAGAGTTTTGCTCGATGGGGGCTCTCCATACGCCTTTGAGAGCCTGGGGTGAGTTTGACTGGGAGAGTACTCCTTGTCAAACTGAACGCACTGCTGCTGGGGCTGGTCCCTGAGGGCTTGTCTCGTTCTTGGAGATGGTCCATTCCTGAATAGCTCCCTGGGAGGCCGCTCCCCTCCCGAAGAACCACTGCCCCCTTCTGCATGGTTCGGTCCCCGCAGAGAGCTGGTGTGGAAGCGGGTGTAGTTGTGTAAATCCACACCTGCTCTTCATCTCCATTCACCCAGGATAATTTTCTTCCCAAGCACACACACTCAGTCGTCCTGCGTGAGCCTGGGCATCTTCTGCCCAAATAAGGGGGTTTGAGGAATGCGCTGTGCCACCCCCCAGCAGGAGCACGTGCTCTGCATTCCTCTCCCAACGTGGCACGATGTAAAATGGAGACAGTGCAGAGAAAGACTTGATTTACTAGTCAGACAAGTTCATCCAGCCCTGGTAAAATGTCTCTCTGATTTAACACACTTGGTTTGCTTTTCAGGCAGATTTCAACTCCCCTTTGCAAAGCTCTCACACTTCATTTCTGTGGATTTTGACAGGGTGCTTTATGTCTGGGGAGAAATCAGCAGTGTTTGAGATAGTTAGATGAGCAGATTTGATTACCGTCCCACTGCTGCAGCAGCAGGATCCAGAGGAACAGACAGGGAAAGCTGATAATCACTCAGCCCTTGCGGTCGGGGCCGACCTGATCCCGCTGAGCAAGACCCGACCTGGTGTCATGTCTTCTCCGTGGCGAGGCTGGTGGCTGGGAGCCCGGTGCAGGGCCGATCCTAATGCAGTGCTCTGTCCTTTGCTGCCTGGCAGGTGTGAGAAGTGCTACCTCTGTAAGTCACTGGTGCCACTGCTGCAGTATCAGAGGCATGTGGACAGCTGCCTTCAGGCTGCTAGGCAAGCTCAGGGAACCAGGAGGCTGCGGAGTGCCAAGGTGAGGGGCGACCCTGCAGACCATCTTCTTTGCTTTGCGCTGGGCTTGGGGCTGGGTTGGCAGCAGGAGCTGCTGCCCTGGTTGACGGGGTGATCTGACCTGGTGTAGGATTGCCTGTCCCCGTGGGCCACTGTGGCCAGAGAACTCATTGCCCTCCTTCCCACGACACTCTGCGAGAGCATGGACTGGTCCCAGGGGTGAGCTAATCCAGCAGAGCTGCCAGTAACCTCTCCAGCAGGCAGGCAGCCAGGGCTGTCCTGCTGCCAGACAGCGTGCCTCAGTCCTGCAGGCTTCCTCGGCTGAATGTAGATGGAGTGGAGGGCAGCGTCGGGGTGACAAGTGTATCTGACTCTGTCCACAGGCCCTTTCCCATGGGGAAGGCTTCAGAGCTGGAGCAGGGGGAACTGCTCGGTGCTGGGAGCAAACCGCAGCATCCCGGGAGAAATGGGGCGGGTGGGGCAGTGGGTGCGGTGGAGGTGTACCAGTGTGGGGGACGTGCCTTGCTAGAGGA